TTCACGTGGCAGTATATAACGGCCTATCTTGATTGATGATATGAAACACAGACATGAAGGTCATTGTTGAATGCGTTTCAGCTGACACGTCAATGCGTTACAGATCCACAATTAACGCATTACATTACCGAGACACGACGGGAAAAACCAACAAATCAAAATCAAGATACATCGATTTTTAACGGAATTCATATAATTACCGTACTAAAATTTGGTTTCTATTGATTATTAAGTAGTTTTCTACTCTCGTGTGGTAATATTTTTATCATTTTTGCACCCGTGTGGTCGCGAGTAGTCCCGAGTGGTTCCCTGTGGTCGCGAGTGGTTCCGTGTGGTCGCGAGTGGTCCCGTGTGGTATTTAGTAGGACCCCCTAGTACTATTACTACTACAAACTACGGGGTCCCACCTTCCGCACTCCCACAACAAGAAAGCAAAAACCTCCCGGAAATAACCAATCTCCTGCAAATTTGCATATTTTCAGTATTTTATTATCATTTGTCCTGAAGTGTATCATTGTTTGTGTGTGTAGTGATAAAATTAATGTGTTAACAAGTCATTAACGTGAAAATTTTTCCAAATTGTAAAAAAAAAATTGAAAAAAAGGAAATTATATTCTAAAATTCATATCTGAGAGTGTCATTTCCGGCCATCTAGAGGTCGAATAATCATAGATTTTCTTACCTCAATCCCAACCATAGCGGGGCTGAGGTGGTACAATATGCCTACCCTACATTTACGCAGCTGGCCCATGCATGGCTACATGGTAAAATTATTGCTCAACAAGGATTTCGAAAGTTAATATGCAGACATTGTAGATTCTGGTTCAAGCACTGCAAGCATCTTCATCTTCATTGTTGTACATGGCAACAGATAATCAATGATCCGCTATGCCATGGGGTGCAGCTATGTGTTTGCTTGTGATTACTTGCATTTAAATTGAATTTTGGATTTAAATTGCTCAAGGGTTGGCAGGAATTGATTATTGTTCTAGGTAAAAAAGAATACTGTACTGGTATCTTGATGTCCTAGCATTGATGCGCTGGTATGCACTCAAGTTATATATTGACAAGTTATATATTAACTAAAGTTATGTATTGACTGTTACTTTGTAATACATTTTCACTTACAGTAACCATCTGTTTAAATACACTGCCCTCACAATGATTAGTGGAATAATTAGTGGAATATTTTAGCAGTCCCTTTCACATTTATAATTAGTGTTTCCAGTGCACAGTAAACTAAATTTACCTTTGTTTCTCTTTTTCTCAGGGATTCTCCAGACACAAAGGAAACCTGAATGAAGGATGGCAGGTAAATTAGATTGCTTCCATTTGAAAGGAAGCGATGGAGGATTCAATACCAAACAGAAAGACATCTTCCAGCAACTTGAATCACTTGAGACCAAGTACAAAAATGACTTGGTTAAAAGGTTCTCAACAGGTGATGATGAGGATAATAAAGGGGAACTTTGTGATGTAGATGCTTCTGCATCCTTTAGAGTTCCGAAGACCATGCCTTCAAAGACAACCAGAGGAAGAGAGCGATTCAGCGGAGACAGAAAAGAATGGTCAAAGAATGAAAGTCAATATAGAGACTCAGAGTACAATAAAGACAAGCATTCCACGTGGAATAATAAAAGGAGAAGCAGGCAACATGACTACAGTAATCCTGCCAAATGGACAAAGTACTCTTTAGAAGACACTGACATTGGAATTGAAAGTCAGAATAAAAAAATTGCCTTCCAGTTCCTTGCAGAACAGCGTGCTCGAAACAAAGACTCTACAACAGATGTTGTTGCAAATCTAGATGATAAAATCACCTTCTCAAAACCACTTGCAAAAGAAGTTAATGATACTGGAAAAACTAATCCAAAAATGTTTGGAAATGTGTTTCGAATGGAGGAGTGTGTAGTAGGCGTGCCCAAAAAATTGAAGGCAAAAACAGACAGAAAACCGAAAGCAGAGTCGATGCCGTCAACTCATGTCCAGCTTGACTTAAAATATCTAGACGATTCGGATGAAGAAGATCCATTAACCAAAGGAAAAAATAAACAAGAGGGTGAAGAAAAAATAATGTTTAGGAAAAACAAACAGAGAAAATCCATCAGAAAAAGAGATGAAGATACTTAGGAATGAAATTGATAATTGAATTGAGTGATGGAAAAACAACTGCCTTTTAATGTCAACCAAAGTGTTGAATATAGAATGCTGAAATCATTGTGATATCAATTATTTTAACTTGAGTATAATTACATTCATTTAAAAACAATAAATAATAATATTATCTTTGAATTTTAATTGCTGTTAATACATGTATCTCTACTGTGACAGTTTATTGGATCTATCCAACGGCAGCTGAGTAGCCATATTAGTAAATACAGTTGTATAAATACTGTAGATCGGTTGATCTGAAGAATAATAAAACTAAAATATAGAGTACTACAGTGTTACGTCACGATACCGCGCGATACTTCTCTGTTGCTATCGGCGACACAAAATGCATTCAACCGGACACCATTATTTTCACTAACTAACCATTGATCCCAATTTCTAACGTAATTATTAAGATGGGCGCCACCTGGTGTTGTGACAACACAACTGTTGTACTCTATAACCACAATTAAATAGGAGTGATGTTATATTGCCAGGCTAGCTATTTGGAGGTGGTGGGTTCGATTCCCACCCAAATCACTTGCCAATTTTTTTCGTAAGTATTCGGGGACGTACTGATTATTCAGTACAATAACTCGTCAGGCCAAAATATCACTCCTATGATGTTTTCTTGATGCAAAGTCACATTGAAATCTCAATTAAATAATAAGAAATTTAATAATACTTTTGAAGAGTTCTTTTAAAAGCATAAAATGCAATGTGAGTGGTACAGTTTTATGGATGTATCTACCACATACACACTCACCCTTGACCTGCCTTAGGCTACAGTCTATAAAACGAGTTTTCGTAATCTCGAAAGCTACGATGAGAGCCTTATAGTAGAGGCAGTAGACCTAAAAAAGATCTATTAATCAATCAGCCTCAAGGGCAGTATAAGAGAGGCAGTAGATCTAAAAAATATCTATTAATAAATCAACTATTAATCAATCACCCTCATGAGGGCAGTGTACTCCCCAGGGAGCAGGGAAGGTTGCACGTTGTTCCACTTTGTCATTGTATGTTATTGTTATCCACTGTCCAGTGGTAATAATGCTCAGTGCCTTTTAATCATTTCTTGGAATTGGCGCTATATAAATATTTGGGTATATTATTATTATTATAATAGAGGCAGTAGAACTAAAAAAAGATCTTATCTATTAATCAGTCAGCCGAGTGTTTCTACGAGCTCGGAGTTAAAAATTGGCAACCTGATCCTGAAGGGTGTAATGTGTGCATATGCTTCATTGAAAATGGTTCTAGTTTTAAGAAGGAAAGTAACACAATAAATTTACTTTACTTATAAACCAGATTGTGATAGCACAGTCTGTTATAAACCGACTCAAAATATTATTATTCTATGGCTACCAAAATGTTAATGTGTTCATTCTTCAATGATTTTATCTCAGAGGCCTCTTACTAACACAATCTTCAGCTTGGCGAATTATTTGCGAACTTGCCACATTATTTTTCTGCACTCTGCTTATACATATATTTTAAGATGGAAAAATTTATAATTAGGTAATTTTTAGGCCTAAAACATATCTGAAATAGGCAACTAAAATTTGCAGGACAAGATTTGAGGCTTTTAAAGCATGAGCATTAAATGTCATGAGGTGAGAAAATTTTGAGAATATATGGACTTAAATTGCACTCTAGTACCTTAAAAATCTTATCGGTAATTCATATCAGCCGTACAATACAATTATTTTTCTTAATACAATTTAGTAGGGTGCAATCGCACCGTCTGAATCCGCCTCAGTATCTATGTTCTTGGTTTCATGGCCTGGAGCCAACACTTGCATTACTGAACTTGGTAATTTCTGGCCTATTTACAAATGTATTTATTCAACAGGTTGCTAACACTTGTGGCACAGCACTGCAGTCATTAATTTCAATATGTATTAGGAATCACTTTTGTATCGGTGGCAATCGCTCGTTACCGAGTGGTGCATCCAAATATACAAAATGAAAATCTTAACGAAATCAAATACAGTACTGTAATTAGATTGGAATATGAGAGAACTTAATGTAACAAAGAAAGAGAGAAAAAATTCTTAACTAACGTTTCATAACGTCGCCACAACGGTCATCATTTCATTGATTTCATTATATTTGGATCACAAATGACAGTGAAATTAACACTGAATTGCATGTGATTTACAATATACATTAAAATAAATAATAATTTACAAGTACTAAAATACACAAAATTTTCATAAAAACACTACTTAGGCCTATTCTACTATTAATGAGAGACTTTTAGACAATATATAAAACTATTTAAAGACAATAAAAGCACATTAAAAAAGTGTATTGAAATCTAACTAAGAACAGTAGTCACAACTAAGGATCACTTGTGGTTACAGTGGCGAATCCAGGAATTCGAAATAGAGGAAGCCCAGAGGATATTGAGGGCCAATACCACCTCAGCTCCGCCATGGTTGGGGCTGAGTTAAGAAAACGTATGATTATGGTACCTCTAGATGGCAGGAAATGGCACTTTCAGACTTAAATTTTAATATACAGTAATTCTCTATTTTTTCCACTTTTTTTTTGTATAACTTCAAAAGATTTAGGGAAGATCGGACCCCCTCCCCTTGAATCCGCCACTGGTTTTTCTTATAAAGGGACCTTAATTACACATGAAAAATAATCAAAATATACTGTATACTGCACGTAATGTGATACACTACAAGAGGTCCCAATATTTACAAAAATGGTACTATTGCGTGGTGTATAATTTCGGACCGAAGTCGCCATGGTTTTGTTGATTGTCTGTAGTACCGTACATTACAATTTGACCAAATTTTTGCCAATAGATAAGCCAATCTTTCTCTTCGTTATTTATGTGGTTAATCTTAAACCGTTTTTTACTAGCCAATAGCTGGTTCACAATTATATACCGGTAAGGCCTCCAGACCATTTCTTTCTTAGTTTTTTTTAAATGTGAGAGCCAACACCATTTAGTGTGCCTTCATTATTCATAATCGCTTAAAAGTTATCTTGTTACCATTCTTATATTTCATATTTTCAAATTAAAAAGTTATGTCATCATTTATATTTTTTAATCGTTTAATATACTCTGCCTTAATATTATGTGTTGATATTGATTTTCTCCATCTTAATTCCCTACAAAGTGTCTCTTTGGCGACATAAATTGGGTATTTCAATATAGTCTTTGTCATAAGATATTAAATATTCTCTTATCTTATCTAATGTGGTTTTGCTATTACAAAACCAGACAGAACTTGTATAATTTATTGTATGTAACTGTGCTATAGTACGTTACAAATTTCCATTAATACTGTACCGTATATTCGATTGAAATTATCTTGATCGTTATTCACAGATAATGCATGCTATAGATCGGTTCCTATTTTATGACGTCTTAGATGTGATGATTGTTTGAGGATGCGAGGTGTATACACCAATATATTTATTCCTAAAACGAACGTAAACCCGGCCTGTTAGTATTAAAAGCATTTTTAAAATTAAAAATAAACCTCTTCAATTCATTTGTTCTCTTTTTTTGTTTTATCAAACATGCATATCAATCAATATTTTATACAATTTCCTGTTGTTTTGAGTAATTGGTTATTGTTTGATCTTGGTTTTTGAACGAGCATAGGCCTACGGCATTTTTTTTTTAATTGTAGGCCTATTACAAAATGTTATGACGATACAAATGTTTTGTTTTGTTTAGTTATGATGTTTTTTAATATTTCTAAAGTTGAATGAGCATGTTGCTGCATTTTAATAAGTCTGAAACTATCAATATTGCAGCAAGCTGATTACGGTATGTTTTTTCTTCTCATGCCTAGGCCTATATACAGATAGGGCCTATGGCATTTTAGTAGCTGCTTTAATTAAATATAAGAAAAGTATATTACATAGGCCTAATTAATCAATGTAAAAACAGTTCATTATTATTCATAGTTCCAGCTCTCTGGTCTTAGTCACCACGCATATTCATAATTTTTAAAAGCAGAGTATTAATAA